ATCTGATGAATCAAGGTGGTATTTATACAGAAATACCTCCACTCATATGCCAGAAGCCAATCACAGAACAAGCAATGGACTATCCCACTTGAGCACAATGCGATACTCCATGGCACCATAAATAGCTCTCAAGGTTGAGTATTTATTAACTCAGATGTGGAACAAGCTGAATGAATAAACACTCCAGGGGACTTCAATTGAGATGAGTTCTTCAAATCACAAATTTCATGGAACTTTCGTTGAGCTGAGTTCTTCAAATCACAGATTCCATGAAACTTCAGTTGAGCTGAGATCTTCAAATCACAAACTCCTTGGAACTTCAGTTGTGATGAGTTCTTTAAATCACAGATTCCATGGGGCTTCAGTTCAAGTGAGTTCTTCAAATCACAACTCTAAGGAACGTCAAAGCCTCACCGTCACCAACCTCTCACTTTGACTCTAATTCTTTTGGAATTTCGAAGAAATAAATCTGATTTCCTCAATTCACAAAGTTTTGGAGATATTTCAAAAATTAAAATTAAAATATTTATTCTAAAATCATCAATTCTTTGTATTACATGAGTTTCATGTAATACAAAGAATTGATGATTTTAGAATAAATATTTTAATTTTAATTTTTAATATAAACTAAAACCTTTTTAACCTTTTTTTTAATATAAACTAAAACCTTTTTAAATCAAGAATATTTTTCATTTATTTTAAAATTTGAATTTTTTAACTGTTCCCTTCTCATTCGTACACAAATCCCAATGCTGGATGCTCGAGCACCAGAGCAAAGGCAGATTTTCAATCCCGGTATGATCCTGGTTCAAAAAAAGGTATAATATGTCTACGAAGTGTGGCGCTAGTTCGACGGGTTTCAGACACACGGACGGACAGATAGAATTTTGTGTTTATTCATTAAGGAGTCGAGGTACCATAGCGATGAGTTCATTTGAACAATTACTATGAAGGTATTTACAGAAAAATCAAACAGCTAAAAATTAATGTCTACTTAATTATAAAAGCGAATGCCAACCAATGACTTCCTTGACATATTACATTCTAATAAACCTAACATTGGCATCCTAGTCTGATTAGATGCTGAAAGTCTGTTTACTAATGTTCCTGTTAAAGAAATCATAGAAATATTTATACAAATCTTATATAATCACCCTAAGCTCACACTTCAGAATATAATGCCAAATATTGAAAATAATCTCCTTGCAACATACAAGTACCATTTTACGATCACTATGGTAACATTTGAACATGGTACAACGATGGGCTAGCCTCTGGGTCCTACTTTAGCTAACTTCTATAAACTTCTATAGAAAAGAAATTATTTAAATATGAACTCAATATGTCAGATATACTGACGACCTTTCCATATTAACTGAAAACAGACGATTTAAAATCCCTGAAATAAACATTAGAAATTAAGACAGTTTTACAGTTCACATACGAACTCAACATTAAAAATAAATACAATAACTTTCCTGTATTTATCACTTCAATATATAAAAAATATTAAAATTTCATGTATAATTAATTACTAAAGCGAATCTACACAGACATAAAAAGTAGGTATTATTAAAAAAAGAAAAGAAAAAAAAATGATTTATCGTGCTAAATGTTTTCCTCTTCGGACACATTTTATAGAGAACTAGCAGCATGACCCCGCGTTGCCCGTGCTTGATTCAAAAATCGTACGACTCATACAGCAATCGCTATCACTTGACTTAAAATATTTTTGCCCTTCCTTGACTTTAAAGGAGTGCCCTTTGCCGTGCTGATGTTGCTACATGCCTTACTTCTTGCCTATCTCACACTGCGATTTTTTTTCTAAACTCTATACTAAACATTAAATCTGTTACGAAAAAAGAACTAAACAAAATGAACACAAAATGATCAGCTTTAAAGAAGGACTCATAACTGGAAAAACCGAATGAAAAAAGAATGTTAACAACAAATACTTTTTCACACCCAACCCAGTTCTGCGGAATCAGAGTCAACGTTGAGTTTAAGCAAGCGAATGAGCCAAGTGGAGTAAAGTGCCATGCAGATTTAATTTTTTCCCCACTTGTGACGAATGCAACTATCGATTTCTTTTGCATGCTAGCATGCTAGTTAACATTCCTGTCAGTGAGCTGTTGGCTCTCACGCTGGCCAATAGAATCTTCCTGCCTATTCGTGGCTATTGGCTCTCACTCTGGCCAGTAGAAAATAGCCGCAAACTACATGAAAACTGCCGTAGAAGCATGAAAAAATCGATTATTTCCACTATCGATGGGAGTTGGGAAATACAAAGTCGGTCTTGGCCTTCCCGCTAACTTGGAGCATGTGCGTGTAAATTTTGGTGCAAATCCGTCGAAAATTGCGGCCGTGCATTCGTTACACACACACGCAGACATTCTGCCTTTTATAGATAGAGAATACTTCTTTTTCTACATGGTACGTCCCTTCAGGACAAAGCGATCATATGTCTGCACAACTTCATGCGGCTTTCATCCTTTGCTACATTAAGACAAATCTGCCATTCATTGTCACAATCTCGTCAAGCAAGTAGCTAGCTGTCCCTCACTATATCAATTACCCTCGATATGCCACGTAGGAACAAGTTTTCCAAGGCCTCCATACATAATATTTTTACAATGAATTTCGGCTGACTTTTCTTGATTGTGATTAGAAATGTTCTTTCTGTTGCCATTTCCTTTAAGAGTGCCTGCCATTATGTCTCTTACCCTTGATATGCCCCGTGAGGATCGAGTTTTCCAAACCCTCTTTTCTCATTATTTGTCCTAGGAATTTCAGCTGTATTTTCCATATTCTGAGTAGAAATGTTCTTTCTGTTGCCATTTTCTTTAAGGCTGCCTCCCATTATCTCTCTTACCTTCAATATGCCCCACGAGGATCAAGTTTTCCTAGACCTCCTTCCTCATTATTTCTCTAAGGAATTTCAGCTGTCTTTTCCTGATTCTGAGTAGAAGTGTTTTTTCTGCTGCCATTTCCTTTAAGGCTTCCTTCCTTTCTCGATCCGTTCATGGAAATTTCTGTATCCTTCTGTATAATTAAAGAAAATAAAACAAAAGCTAATCCGAAATAATTTCCGAAACCATTTCGTTGATGATGAAATAGGATTACCTCTAAATACATCGAAGAAAATAATATAAGTAACCAATTATTATATAATCAAAAATAAAGACTCCATTATATTGTTTAATTGTAACCAGATGCTTCTCAGTTATAACCAGAAGCATCCTTTTTGTTTTTATAAAAAAGACGAAAAGGCTATGCAAATTACAAAACCGTCGCCATACAAAAGATATTGGTCTTAATAAATTTATCAGGTTATTATTTATTAGCATCTATTATAAAAAATATCTAATGTAATTCCTAAAAACATTCACCAAATCCAAAACACACCCATGTAAATATAATGTTGTTTATGTATTGTGTCCTTTGGGAGATTGTCTCTCCAACACTAACAAACAACTTTAAATTTTTACATTCGTGACACGTGCACCACACTCTCTTATCGGCTGACTTGTCATGTTTTTAATCATTTCACCTGAAACAAGGCAATAAAGCCACTAAGACGAATGGGGGGGTCCGAGTATGAAAGAATGTAATAAAGACATTAAAAAGCGAGAACAATAAAAGAACTGGAATTAAGAAGACAGAATATAACGATTGACATTGCATTTACATGATGGTTTGAGGATAGATAGATAGATAGATAGATAGATAGATAGATAGATAGATAGATAGATAGATAGATAGATAGATAGATGTGGACAGACTGAGATAGATAAATAGATAGATGTGGACAGACTGAGATAGATAGATAGATAGATGTGGACAGAAAATGAGATCTTCATTGACATGGTGGTTTGAGTATATATATATATATATATATATATATATATATATTTTGAGAGAGAGAGAGAGAGAGAGAGAGTCAGAGAGAGACAGACAGACAGACAGACAATTCAGAGTTGATAAGAGCCTCTGAAACTTTAAAAAAAGAAGTAGAAGATTAATAAGAAGGAAATTACTGGAAAGTTAATTGAAACTCACCTGAAACGAGCTGAATGTGTAATGATCCTCATGCCAATGACACTTCCCACCGAGCTTCTCTACGGCATATAACATATAACTATAATATCTATAGTTAGAAATATCTATGAGGTTACCTGGGTACTTAAAGACTGGAACTAGAGATAAGAAATTCTAACAAGCAGACTTTTTGAAAAAAGAATGGGATTCGCAGGTATATAGGTAAATTTATCAGAAATAATATTAACATGAAACAAATTTTAGTAGATAACACTAAATGTTATAGTTATTTTCCAAGCATAGCTTAGATGTGGCACAAGGCCGAAAGTATGGAGCATCTAGTGAGGATCGAACTCACTTTTCAGTTGTAATTGATCTAGCGAGACAAGCTAACCATTACAAATACAGGACCTCCGTGGAAAGAAAAACGAAAAAATCTGGAAGACATTGTATTACAAGAACAGCAAAAAATCATTTAATTTCTTCATACATACGAGATCGTATATTGAAATATGTATTTAAAAAAAAACGTCATGAAATCATATGTTGAACGATTGGACAAATTACCTCGTGGCGAAGGGTGGTGGAAAATTCTGTAAGTGATGCAGAGCCTGTGTCTAAATTTTGGATATAAGACCAAAATAGCGACAATGTGCTACAATAATTTTGAAGCGTCGACACATTTTTTGTACACAGATTCCTTAGTGAAACTAGCCCGGAATTCTAAGCTAACAAGTGGGGTGGCGTTTCACAGAAGATTTTAACCCCGTTCCCTCCTAAATTCAATGATATAATGTTAGTCATTGTCGTAAAATAAAACGAAAAAAGAATTTCACTGTAATATACAATTTGAATGAAGCAGACATTAAATGCACGAGAGCGTTGTACCGTTCTCTACCTTCCCTTTCTTTCTTTCTTTCTTTCTTTCTTTCTTTTATCACTTCTTTGTCAACACATATTCCATGTCTTTTCTTTCTTTCTTTCTTTCTTTCTTTGTCAATACATATTCCATTTTTTTCTTTCTTTCTTTCTTTCGTTCTTTCTTTCTTTCTTTCTTTATCACTTTTTTTCAACACATGTTCCATGTTTTTCTTTCTTTCTTTCTTTCTTTTCTTTGTCAATACATATTCAGTGACTTTTTCTTTCTTTTCTTTCTTTCTTTGTCAATACATATTCCATGTCTTTTTTTTTCCTTCTTTCTTTCTTTCTTTGATTTCCTTTTTTCTTTCTGTCTTTCTTTCTTTCATTGTCAATACATATTCCATCAGTCTTTCTTTCTTTCTTTCTTTCTTTCTTTATTCGTATATTGTACCAACCATTTTCTTTCTTTCTTTCTTTCTTTGTTAATTCATATTACATGAGTATATTTTTCTTTCTTTCTTTCCTTCTTTCTTGTCAATTACTATATTCTACCAATCTTTTTTCATTTCTTTATTTCTCTTTCTTTCTTTCTTTCTTCTTTCTCCATTCGTTATTCTTTAATTATCTATCTATCTATCGTATATTTTTTATTATCTATCTATCTATCTATCTATCTATCTATCTATCTATCTATCTATCTATCTATCTATCTTTCTTTCTTTCTTTTTTTTCTTTCTAGTCGTGCAGAGACATAGCTTCAACACATTCAGAATGAGGTTTGCCAGAATTTAAAAAAATGATTTAGAGATTATCTATGTTCGCTGCTACTAGAGCAAGAATTTATGGCCTGATACAGGCAAGCTGAAATTGTGTGTAGAGCATAAGGGAGCTAAAATTATGAACAGGAGACAGAAATCTAAATTTGTGGACAGGGGACAGATAAACAGAGTTGCCATGGTATAGGCAAGCTGAATATGTGGGTAGTGGACAAGTGTTATTAATGGGACGTAAGTTCTAAAAATTACAGAAATATAATCTCTAAGAGATTGTATTGTTTTTCTTTTTTTTAGAATGATTAATAAATGTCTTTTTTCTTTACCGAAATCAAACTAAAAATTGGCGCATATACACCAGAACAAACTCTGATTAAATTCAATAATTTATCTGGCTTTTTAATTTTTTTTGTTAATTGTTTCAAGGATAAAAAATAAGGAACAAAAAAATGGCAAATGGAATATCAATAAATCGAATATCAGTTGAATTTATCGATTTTTACGTAAACAGAGATGAATTGTCAGTTCGTCCTCCGACAGAAAATAAAAATGTCTCAATAGCAAATTTGATGATGTTAAAATTGAACGATTGGGACGCTCGTTGAATTTTCATGCTGTTTTAATTTTTTCTTTTTCACGTTCGTTTTTATTTTTACCAAAATTTTTATTAACTTCTTCATCGTGACGATTTCCTTAAATTCTTCGACGGCATTTCAACGGTAATTTAATCTAGGAGTCGACAACCTACGGCAATCACGAAGTCTGAACCAATAACAACTTCAACGCAAAAAAAGATATTTAGCTTTTTAATATATACTAAGTATATATACTATATATTACTATATAAACTATATTGTAGAAAGGGTCTATTGACCTTGTCTTATATAAAAAATACGTATGCTGCTGGCATACAGAATGATTTTAAAAAACCCTACATCGACACATGGTTAGAAAAACGTTGCCGATCCGCTGATTTAATATATTAGTTTCAAATTAAAACTAAAATATAATCTTCAAGAAAAAGATTTATTTTAGTTTTAATACATTTTTAAACATTAGGGGTTGCATTTATTTGTAATCTACCTGTTTCCACACACACACACACATATATATATATATATATATATATATATATATATATATATATATATATATATATATATATATATATATATATATATATATATATATATATATATATATATTGATATATATATAAAGAGAGAGAGAGAGAGAGAGACAGAGAGAGACAGACAGGCACGGTGGGGTAATGGATAACGGCTTGGGAAAATTTTTTAATCCTCTTCGGTGGGGGTAATGGATAGCGGCTTGGATTGAGGAATCGCAGAGCCGAGTTCGAATTCCTGTCGAATCCATTACATTCACTTACGTGCTATTACCCTTGGGAAAGGTATGAATCCTCTTCTAGATTTTTCCAGGAGAGTAATGGATAGCGGCTAGGATTGAGAAATCAGAGAGCCGAGTTCGAATTCCAGTCGAATCCATTACATTCACTGACGTGGTAATTCCCTTGGGAAAGGTATGAATGCTCTTCGAGATTTTCCCAGAGGAGTAATGGATAGCGGCTCGGGTTGAGGAATCGGAGAGCCGAGTTCGAATTCAACAGTCGAATCCATTACATTCATTACGTGCTAATACCCTTGGGAAAGGTATGAATGCTCTTCGAGATTTTCCCAGAGGATTAATGGATAATTGCGGCTCGGGTTGAGGAATCGGAGAGCCGAGTTCGAATTCCAGTCGAATCCATTACATTCACTTACGTGCTAATACCCTTTGGGAAAGGTATGAATCCTCTTCTTCTCCCCTCCAGCTATGGGTAAAATAGCAGGACAGACTGGGTTCTATAGCCTTGGATGGCAACTGGCCTAGGAGAAGGACAACTCTGAATTCAAAAAACTGCGGAGGGTCGTTTGGGAAAACTTGTGGCACTTAGTGCACCAGGTCTCTGTATTCGTCCCTTCAAAAAATGTGTATGGTCCTGCACAAAGGCTTCACCACTATAATCAATTCTCATGTGCCGGTGTCGGCTGTCGTTTTTCTTGAAACTGATCTGTTTGTCCCACCTACGTCGAAATCGGCCGGAGAGTCGACTATATATATATACACAGGCACACACACATTCATACACAACAACAAATACAAAAACACACACGCGAAAACGAAAGGCGCCCCGCATCCACCAGAGAACTGACATCACTGACCACCTAAACGAGGGAGGGATGGGGAGTTAAACTAAAGGAAAAAAAAATCAGAAATAAAAAGGGGCCAATGAGCAAACACACCCTAGCTAAGTTTACCGAACAAAGAGAGAAAAACTAAAAAAATCAACTACAAAAACCTAAACTAGTCTACTGTTGGGAAGGGTTGCCCATGTTCAACCCAGGAAAACAATATCCTGATGCCTAACCGGCATCAAAATGCCACTCCAAGTCAGCCCCTTTACTCGACACAGGCGCGCAAGATTCACCCACCTTTTGCCAAATTCTGATGAGGTGAGCCGCCGCCTTTCCGTCCTAATCTTGACTTTAAGCTGATGCCTAAAGTACAAGATCAGTTGGGAAGAGGTGAACTTCTCGCCTTCATAGAATTCCTTCTGACGCGTCGTCCAAATCACGACTCTCATTACCCCTAGTAAGCAACAGAAACACATAGTGTTCAGCCTTCGTCAATTGCGGCACCACATTGCTACAAACAGAACTGGCTTCAAGGACAAAAAAAATTTCCTGCAGCATGCGAACCATGAGGCCTTCAACAAACCTGCACAACGGCACTACCGTCTTGCACTGAAAAAAGGCGTGACCAACGGTCTCGACTTCCCCAGTAGAGCGACGACAGTTTGATATTTCTCCAAGCCTGCTGCACAAAAGTCCCTTGCCGACCCAGAGGGCCCCACGAATCATCAGCCAGGTGAGTGATGCCTCATCGTTATTGAGACATTTCAACCCAGGCGCCCAAGGCCATATCGAGCGAGCCTCCTGCTTCGTAAGACCGAGATCGCCAATCAGATCATCTTGAACGGCCCCACTAACTAACAGTCGATACAATGCCTTACGAGACAACGCCTGGGCGTTGGAGAGGCCATCCGACGTCCGTAAGAGGAGATTCAGAGCACGACGACATTCACACTAGAAAAGCACTCGGCTCGGGGTATTGTGTACCTTGACCTCGCACGAGTGCACACTTCTCAGGGATGGGAAATGTTTACGGACGTCTTCTTTCCAGAAGGCGCCCACCTCATCCGATCCGCGACACATTCGGTCTAGAAAGGTAATGCGAAGCATATGTTGACGAATCTCAATGCTAGGCATACCCAGACCGCCTTCAGAAGGATGAAGGCAACAGATCTCGCGAGTTACCATAGGGGCCTTGTCTCTCCACAAGAAAGAAAACAAGGTCCGTACTAATAAAATTAGTCTGGCATACGGGAGTGGAAGTACAGAGAGTCGGTACAGGAGAATCGGATATATGTGAAACACATACTTCCGCCCTTCCCTTCAGGGAGGAAGTCTTATCCGAGACCACAGATTAACCGCGATCTCGGCCTTCCCTTGTACCTCCGACCAGTTCATTTCCAACTGGAGATCAGGACCGAACCAGATGCCGAGTATCTTGATCGGCCCATCCGTCCAGAGGAAAGGTCCGGAAGAGAAACTCCTTCCACGCACCCAACCGCAAGCCAACAGACTTATCGCGGTTGATCTTGGCCCCGTCACCATCTCATACCCACTGATCTCTTTGCTGACTTCGTTAATCTCGGCTCTGCTCGACACAAGAACCGAAACGTCGTCAGCATAGGCAGAATACCTGGCTGAGGTGGAAGCCCCAGGCAGGGAAATTCCGCGCAGGACCGGATTCGCCTTTAACTTGCGAAGGAATGGTTCCAACGCAAGAACGTAAAGCAAAAGCGAGAGCGGACAACCTTGACGAATGGAGCGAGACAATACGAAAGGCTTCGATCTTACCCCATTCACTTCCACCAGCGCACCGGGGTCGCATACAAAAGTCGGATCCAGGAGCGAAAGTCGGCTCCGAAACCGGCCGCCGAAAGGACAGCCTCCAGAAATCGATGGTCAACCCTATCGAAGGCCTTGGAATGATCTAAATTGATCAAAACGGCTTCACTGTCGACTTGTTCTAAGATCAAGCGTATCATATGAAGGTTATCCTGAATAGTCCTGCCCTTCACAGCACAAGTCTGATTGGCCCCGAACAGACTAGACAGGACAAGCTGCAAACGGTTGGCTAAGATCTTCGCCCAAATCTTTAACTCAGTGTTTAACATGGTTAAAGGGCGAAAGTTCCCTAACCCATCCCCACCGTTCTTGTCCTTACGCAGCAACTTGATCACACCCCTGGTGAAGCGTTGAGGTATAAACCCCTGCTTCATCCAGTGGTTGAAAATCAGTTCCAGCAAAGGAACAAAAACGGACGACAACCTCAAGTAAACTTCGTAGGGAAGACCATCTAGTCCCGGAGACTTATCCAGGCTAACCTGCTTCAGCACTTCCCAGATTTCCGACTCTGTAATGGGACCCTCGCACCTAGCCACTTCAGCTGCCTAGAGGCAGGAAAGTCAGCTAAATAGGCGTCGAACTGAGCAGAGCTCAGACCGGGCTCCCTGGTGAAAAAGATCCTGGAAGTAAAATCGAAAGGCCTCGCATATGCCCGCGTTTGTAGTCACGGACCGCTTATCCGGCAATGGTACGCACGCTATATGTCGCCTAGCCGCGTTCCGATTCTCCTCTGCACGCAGTTCAGCGGCCATATTCGTCGCCTCAGAAGACATTCTTTTTTAGACACAGTTGGGAATGGAGCGGATTTTCGTCTTTTAAACCACCCCCCCAACTACTAGAGGCTTGATCCTTACTGATAAGCAAGGAGGCCAAATCACGCTGGTCCTTCCCTTAAGCTTAGATCTATGGCTCCCCATACGCAGTCTTCTGGC